AAAAAAAAAAAAAAAAAAAAAAAAATACAATTTGGAGAATGCTGAACTAATTTCCCTCCCCCCAAAAAATGCTATTGTGAAATTTGTTTCGGTGTGATGTACACCTAAAAATATGCATCTCCTAAGTTCTTTTTCACCCCTTTAAAAGCTCAAAAAAGAAAAAAAGGGACACTTCACCCATATGACATAGTCAGTTTAGCAGTGAAGTAAAACTAACCCTTGTAGCAGTGCGGTGAGTGGACGACACATGCTAAGGTTTCTTTCATCCCTTGTACCCCTTTTTTGTCAAACAAGGAAAGCCTCAGATGAACACTTATTATAAGCAAAGGAAATTGTCTCCCCCTTTGTGGGCGGGGGGCGGCATACAAACATATAAAGGAAATGCCCCTCCTACCATTTACGCATATGTTGCTATACACGGGAAGATAGGCAAAGGTGTGGAATGGTGGACATCCCAAAGGTGTAAAGCGGATGCATCCGTTTAACATGGTTAATCATTTTTACTAATTGGCAACTTAGACGGGGGTATATTAAGAACAAAAAAAAAAAAAAAAAAAACAGTTGGATTAAAAATTGCCAAAACTGGTACACAGAAGTAAAAACAGAATTCTTACCATTGCATTTTCGTTGAGGTAATTCGCACGGGTTTGTTTCACCCAAGTATGTTTAGATCTAACCAGGAGGTTAATTGTTAACAAGCTCATAATGGAAGTAAAGCTTTATTCACATGGGGGGAAGTTCTTCTCCATTGTGTCACACATTTGTGTAAATTTGGATGAGGAATTTACCTGAACGGTTCATATTTTTTTTTTTTTTTTTTTTTTTTTCCCACACATATATCCTTTTCGCGGGGAAATTTCGCATGCGCCAATTACATGCCGTGAGGGGAAACCTCGAATTGATATTATTTTAAAAAAGAAAAAAATGTTACAGGAGTAGCTACGCGGCGCACTGTTCATCGACAGTCGGTAAGCATTGTACGCCGCACAGGATATAGCGGCTCGCCCGATTTGCTCAAATGTTCTGATGAAAAAAAATATAGGTAATAAAAAAAAATTATACACATAACTGATTTGCAACGGGTCGGTCCAGAACAAACCTTCCACCTTTTGTGCTGAAAAAAAAAAAAAAAGAACTTCCTGCGGTTCATAACATCTCTCTGTGTGTGTACGTCCGTGTGTGCATGTTCCTCTGCAAGCGCGTCCAATCGATCACTCCTGTACAAACGCATGCGTCGTCTCCTTTTTGCAACATTGAACGTGCAGGGGACACTTCACCATTTTCCGCCAGACCCTTCAGTGTTCATTTCTCAACTAGCCAATTGGGTTTGTTTAAAAAAAAAAAAAAAAAAAAAAAAAAAAAAAAAAAAGTGGCACACCTTTCCCCATTTTCACGCTTCTCTAACCTTTGAGCGATAATGAAGCGACCAAACAGCAACGGAGACTTGGGTGAAACCTTGCTGAAGAAAAAAAAGGGGTGGGACACTCTGTACGAGACGGTGATAAATGCGTCGTCCCGTGCGAGAATAAAGTATGATGAGAACGCCCTCGTGAGAAAGGACCTGCCAGATTTGAAGCGCTCCAGTCGCTTCATGTTCACCCTGTCGTCTACTGGGGTCATTCCGCGCGAGGAGGTGGACGTCACGAAGGTATCGCTCGAGTGGAGCAGCAGATGGGCACAGCGTTACCGCGCGGCAGCGTTACCGATTCGTAGTGCTACCGCTTCACAGTGCTCCCCGCCCACCCCCTGCACGCAGAAAATCCTGAAGCTATGCAACCTGCGGGACGAGTTTATAAAGCCGTTCACAGACATCGACACCACGTTGGTAGAAAAAAGGACCCACTCGGAGGGCGGCGAACCGAAGGAGCATGAAGACACCAAGTCGGATGAGCCAATTTATAACCCTAGCAAGGTGGTTATTTTGGACAAGTGTAACGCGTTCCTCAATTTCGTCGACGGGATTTTCTTCGTCCACTGGGACCCTCTGCAGGACGATGGGCCGAAGAGTAAGGCCCAGCGCGGTGCGCTACCTCCGCGTTGCGAAGCGTAGCGTTGTGCGAGTTACTTCTTTTCCATTCGTGCGATGCGCACTGTGCCCTGTCCCCCTCTCCCCGCTACAGGCAAAGACGAATGCAGCGAAGAAAACAAGTTAGCAGAGCACGCGGGCATGAAGTCGACGGAGGAGTACCTATCTGCCATCCAAGAAATAATGCTAGCCGTGCAGGACCCCGCTTGCAAAAGCTTCTGCTACCAAAGGTTAAAATATTTAGAGCAAAAATTTGATTTCCACCTTATGTTTAATGGGTCTTTAGAATTACGTGAAACAACAAACATCAAGCACAGAGATTTTTATAACATCAGGAAGGTCGATACACATGTCCATCACTCAGCCTGCATGCAACAGAAGGTATTACTTCGGTTCATTCGAGATAAATACAAAACGGAATCTAACACCGTAGTGTATATATCAGATAACGGGATCAAAATGACCCTGAAAGATATTTTCGATCAAAAATTAAAGACCTCTGCTTATGAAGCTACCGTAGATACACTAGCTGTTAATGCACTTGGGAGTTGCTTCCACAGATTTGATCTGTTTAATAATAAGTACAATCCATTTGGACAAAAGTTGTTAAGAGAAATTTTTTTAAAAACAGATAATTATATTGAAGGAAGGTACTTGGCCGAAATTACAAAACAAGAAATAAAAAATTTAGAGAAATCGAAATATCAACATGTGGAATGGCGTATATCTATATATGGACAGAACCCAAATGAATGGAAAAAGCTAGCTAAATGGGTTCTACAAAATAATCTCTCCAGTGCTTCTGTACGATGGATTATTCAAGTACCAAGACTTTACTATGTATATAAAAAAAGAGGCTTAATTAATTCCTTTGCAGATTTTTTAAGTAACATATTTGAACCTTGTTTCCAAGCGGCTAAAAACCCAGAACAAAACAGAGAAGTTTTTGCCTTCCTTCAGCAAGTCGTTGGGTGGGATAGCGTTGATGATGAGTCCGCCATTTCGAAGTATACCACTGGGGGTGGGGAGCTTCCTACTCCAGACAAATACACCAGTGACAACAACCCCCCCTACTCCTACTACGCATACTATATGTACGCTAACATAAGGACCCTCAATGACTTTCTCGTTAGTAGACACCTTCGCCCAATGGCTTTCAGGTTAGTAAATAATCACAAGGACGACCGGATATATATGTATATATATATGCGCCATTTTTGTGTACACATTTTTCAGGAGAAATCCATCCGCTTGCGCGGAAACTACCATGTCTCTTCCTCGACTTGGCAAAAAAAAAAAAATTATTCTCCACTTAAGTTGTACAGTTGTGTGTGTTCCCCTTTCCAGAGTTTATATGCACGCGATATATATATGTTATTTGTTTGCGCCTTTTTGCAGACCCCACTGTGGCGAAATCGGAAACATAAGCCATCTGGCCTCCATGTTCCTTCTGGCGGACAGAATAAACCACGGAATAAATTTGAGGAAATCGCCCGTTTTGCTTTACCTCTACTATTTGAAGCAGATCGGGCTGGCCGTTTCGCCCCTGTCCAACAACGCCCTGTTTTTGCAGATCGGTATACTTGCACGGAGTCCTTCGCGGGAAGCCTCACTCCGAAGTGTGGTAGCTTCACGCGGGAGGAGGTTCTTCCTGCGTTCGTGTATAATAATGGGTGTGTGTATCTACATGCGCCTCGCCAGCGAGAGCTGCCAGCTGGGTGAGCGCTGAGACATGCCAAACTGCCCTCACCTCACCCCCGTAGAGAAAAACCCCTTTAAGCGCTTCTTCAAAATTGGCCTCAACGTGTCACTGTCCACGGACGACCCCCTCATGTTCCACTTCACGGATGAGCCCCTGCTGGAGGAGTACTCCGTGTGCGCGGTAATAAGTTCGCATGGGAAATACTGACCCATGATGAGTCCCCTTTTGCTCATTTACTTCTCCCCCCCACCCACATGCACACTGTCCTTATTGACCTATCACCCATTTGCATTCCCCTTTCAAAGCACATATGGAAGCTCACCACCGTGGACTTATGCGAACTAGCAAGGAATTCCGTCATGCAGAGGTGAAAATAAATTGACCCTTTTTTCATTTAAAATTACGTGCTTGTTGCCATTTCGCAATATGGTAAAGGAAAAAAAAAAAAAAAAAAAAGGAAACATGTAACTATATGTCCTCTTTCATTGTCCCTTCCCTCTCCCCTTAAGTGGATACGAACCATCCTTCAAGAAGCACTGGTTGGGTATAGACACAACTAATGGAGTGATAAATTTTGAGAACCACCCGGAGAAAACGAACATACCCAATACGAGGGTGGCGTACAGGTAGGCACAACACGAGTGTGTGGGGGGGGGCCCCATCGCTGGTCTGTACAAATAAATGCATGCAATGACAGTAGCGCTCGTAAATGGATAAATGTCACTCCTTTTGATGGTGACACTTGCACGCCTCATCACTGCAGGAAGAATACCTTTGACGAAGAGAATGAAAACATTCGGAGGCTGGCGAATTACACAAGTGATGCGTGCGGGATTGACCCGTAGAGATATTCTCCCCCTTCCGGGTATGTCTCTCCCTGTGTGCACTTCCTCGAGCTGGGCCTTTTAAACTGTCCATCAGTCGTGTGGACGCAAAAGTGTCCAACTGCAAATACATTGATGTGAGCGGCATATGTCCGAAATGGCAGCCCCTTTTTTATTCCCCTCTGCAGACAACTGTCATGTTCGCTGTGTAGAATGACCTTCCCCCGTCTTTTTTTTTTCTTTTTTCTTTTTTTTTATTAACCGTTCATGTAGATTGGTCATATTTTTATGACAGAGCTAGCCAAGTTTTACATTTTTTTTTTTTTTTTTTATATTTCCCCCCTTTCGGATGCACATTTTGACCATCATGCGTGGGGGGACTTGCGCCCAAGGGAGGCTGCACACTGGGGAGTTCATAATGGACCCGCAGATTTTTAGCATAAGGGGACTTAAACAAAGAAGGAAAAAAAATTTACTGGAATGTTATTTTTAAAAGGGGGAAAAGGTTATGATACCATTAAAAAAATGACCAGTGGAGTTGCTAAACTAGGTTAACATTCCTGATGAGTGAAGCTCTGGTAGAAAAGTTTCCATGTGCATGCATATTACATACGCATATGCGTGCATTTATGTATGAGTGTATTATCATGCTTTACACCTTTGCGGGGCTGCGTACTGGACGTTTTACTCTGTGTGCCCGTATGGTCCAGGGAGAAGAACGTTTTTTTTTTGCGTAGGAGGAATAATACATAGGTAGGGCCAACAAGGGAGAGAAGCAAATCTGTTGCTCATTCGTGGAAGGACAGGGTGGACCCTATAATTTACCTTTTAAATGTTCCTTTTGGCCGCGACGCAGCATTCACAGGGCGCGCGCACGATTGGGTAGGTTTACACCTTATGCATCTGTTCATTTTTTACCATGTTAAGGAGCGATGGCACAATTTTAAAAAGTGCCGTATTGGTGTATGCCCTACTTATGCATACACATCTCCATGAGAACATAAACACGGGCACTCCCGAGCGCACCAATCTCATACGCGCAACGATGACACATGGCAGAGGGGTGAGGTGGAGCGACGAGTACACACAATCCATACGTCATGGAGTGTATGTCAGGGGGATGCTCTACGTGCGATTGTCAAATGACGTGTTTCCACTTGTGGTGACTTCATTGCGCCGCGCTGCAAAGAATAAATCAACCAGGTAAACAAACCGTCAGGAGGATATAATACTGTTATACTCCCATCCCCGTTTTACATGCACAAAAAAAGGGGATGCAAAAAAAAAAAAAAAAACAGTGTGCTCGTAAAAATTGACGCATGTCAAGTGCCCACTTTGCATGAAGTCAAAGGGGGTTATATACCTTAAAAAAATATATATATATATTCCCCCTTCGTAGTGGCAGTGTTATGTATATATGTAATTAAAATACCACCTTTGGACGCAGGACGCACAGAGCAAACTATTTGCTGCGATGTGAGAAACTGTTGTGTGGGGTTGAAAAAAAGGGCTTTATAAAAAGGGTGTTCATTGGAGCCACGTCGCCACATATATATGTGCACCACACTGTGTTGACATGGGGGGGGTTCCTCAGCGATTCCGTTTGCGAGCTCCCTTGCACAGATGCATACGACGCGAGGCGGGGCATTAACAACATCGCCGCATCGTTACGCACCAAATGGACGCAGCACAAAATAAAATAAATGCACATATAAGTAGCCATATTAAAATAAAAATATAAAATTAGGCAGATCAAATATGCCTACATATGTGCCTACATTTTGTGCATACATTTTTGCCCACATTTTGTGCATACATTTTTGCC